ACAGATGAAAAATTTTTAGGGGATAAATGCCTATATCTACCGTTTAAATACTAAAATACGTTTAAGAATACTTTTTTAAGAATACTTTGTTTAAGTGGTTTTGAACTATATACTCGTTGGGTGCCCCTGTAGTCAGTATACCGGTATACCTAATTTCTTGGACCTCAATCTCGACCCCAGAGCTCTCAGAAGCAAAGCACTGGGGTTGAGAATGCGGGGACCTGGGCAGAAATTTAGCGCATGCTCAATTACATTTTCAAGTACCTACCAGTTCATGACATACGAAGCAAATTCTTTTCTCTATTTTAGAAAACAATGAGGACATGGAGACGCTTAGTAAGCGTTTTTTTGTCAAAATGCTGACACCAAATGGTCACTAATGGACAGTCATCTGAATCATCTACTTTTTAACAAAGTTTTTTTCTCCACCAGTGTTGTGTAGGTGAGTATGTATGTCGTTTACCGTTAATCGCAGCGAACAAGGATGAAGTGTTCTTGAAAAAAAAAAAAACGTATACTAGCTACGCAATATAGTGAGGGGAAAGTCCTTGTTGACTTCCGCTTCGAATATAAGATTTATGTTCTCGCTGAAAATTCTAGGTACCAGTAAATCAGAAACTAAACCGCCAGTGATGTTCGTTAGCTTACAAAAACTTATAGTAATTACATGTAGATACCAGAACTTTCGGCTATTTCTTTGTTTTCTAGCTATTATTTTCCTTGGCTCTATTGTGTTGACTTCTAGTTCTCACTGGCTTGTAGTAATTGATTTACGTCACTCGTGAGGTGCACAGGTTTTTACGCCGAGTATGAGCCGAACTTTCTATACACATCTGGTCTTGGTTCGCACCGTCATGTCTGACATGACTGGCACGCGAACAACACATTTCTGTAAGTAGCTACTTCGGTTCGTACGCGGCATTTCTAACCGTGAAATTATCGTGTTTGAAGTTAGCAATAATGTGACTCATAGTGTTTTCCAGTTGCCTTAAGCTGAGAGCTACCCGACCGTTTTGAATAGTTTTCCTTTTGAATATCTAGTCTGAGTGTTTACAACACTGACTAGATCGTAACGACAGATCTGTGAAGAATTCTGGTTTCATGAAAAAGGTAAGCATGATTTGTCGTAATAGTTGAAGGCTGAAAATTGTTTGTTTTAAAGCGAAATTGTTGGGTTGATGGCTGATGCTGGGCTGATCTCAGTTTCATCATTTAACTTCCCGTTTTCGTTGTTTCTGGTTCTCAAAGTCAGTGTTATATTTTGCTGTGACCAGTAGGAATGCTGACAAGGCAAGATTTCTTTTCTGCATACTACTTGAGTAGTTACGAAGGTCTACTAAGTTTGGATTAATCTTTCTCCAGAATGTAGGATACCTTACCGACTAATAAGGGCTGTCACTACGATTTGAAGTTATCGGGTATATGTAATGTACTGTAGTAGGCAGGGAATTGAACGGTAGAAAGTTTTCTTGATTCCATTTTCCTTTTTGTTTCCTCTGAAAGAAGCCTGGGACAAATCCCTATCTGTTGCCCCTTAGCGATATCCTTGTTAATTTTCTTTTTGTACCTTTTGTGTCATTTTAAAAATCCTGGTGGTACTCAGGAAGATCTAAAGTTTTAAAGAAGCTCTCTCTTTCTTGTCTGTCACTAAGGGTGCATCCCTTTGAGATAGTCCGGATCAGGATCATTGATTTGAGATCATTCAGATTGTGGTACATCAAATGACCTGATGGATCCTTTCCCAGGGTAGCTTTCATTTCCCAGTTCCTTTGATGTGCTGTGATGTGAGCACCCTGCAAGCAGAGTTTCCTTTTGTCTTTTTGAGTGGGGAGGAGAAAGGGAGTCTCCACCTGAATCACATCAAACCTTTGACAGTGATTTTGTTACATATAGTTATGGTGAGTCCTGGGACTCATCTTGTGAAAAATCATGAACCCCAGCTCAGAACCATTGAGTCCCAGTTCAAAAACCAATGAGGCCCTGGGTCTTTTGTAACCACACAGTTAATCTGAAGACAGACTCCAAGACTCTGTCTGACAGTTTACTGAAATGAAAATATATTCCTTCTATTGTAAAACACAACAAAGAGTAAAAGAAATAAGCCTAGTTAAACAACAGCCACAAGAACAACCACAGAAATCACACATACAGGATATACGGTATTTCTACAAAAAACATCTTCAGATCGGTCAATCAATCTTTGTCTCCTACGGAACACATGCCACAAATTATTTTGCGTCTTTGGGGATTTTTATGCTTCAGCGACACAGGACGCAGAGGTAACAAAATCACTGCTTTGGGGTCACCGCAGCCCAAACTTCTGGACTAGTCAATCTTGTTCTCTCTGACAATCATCAAACTGTGTTTTTGAGTGCACACCTCCATTTATTGATAAACTGATAGTCATAACTGAGTCTGCTGTAGCAAGCACATGGCTATTAGGCCTAGGTTCAAAGCTGTATCCTAGCAAGATGCAGCGCATGCTCAACAAAGATCTTACTCGATTCATGCAGATTCTTTCTCGAATGCACCAAAATTGAGCAAGCAAAAGAAAGACTCTCCTGGCAGGATGTGATATGAGTGATTTGGGATACTGATTCAGATCCGGCATTAAGGAACTACATTTTCTTAACAGAGATTTCAATAATGTTCTAAGTAGGCAACAAAGCTAGCCACAGCACACTGGTTGCCCTGCACTGAGCCGAGAATCATTACAAGCTGGGAGTTGGTTGGAGTTATTATAAGTGGATATCACTTATACCACCAATAACCATGCTCTTATTGAACCACTGAACATTATAACATTTTACCCTGATTTGTATGATTCTGGTGCACCTTTTTTGTTTTTCTTTTCATATCTCCTCATTGAGTACAAAGTTTTAAGAAATTATGACAGGCTCAAACTTTTAATGCTAGGTTGGAGTTGAATCAGATATTTTGAACTGAAGATGCAAAAGACTTCTGTATTTTTCTTTGTTTTGAATTTGCTTAATATTATCATGCAAGATTTAGTGATTAATATTTTATGATGGCAGAGAACCTTAACAGAGTGTACTGAATCATTATCTTAAAGAATATATTATACAAATCGTATAGAAAAACTGTGGGGTGAAAAATTAAATGAGAGAAGATCATTGCAGTTGTAGACACAATTTTGGCAGTTGCAAAAAGAAAACCTTAAAAAATTCAAGCTTGAACTGAATTCAAACCCTGGACCTCTGCATTGCTGATGCAGAGCCTTACCAATCGAGCTAAAGACTCAACTGAGAGCAGGTCATTGGGTCGATTCGTTATAAAACCTTGATTGGATGATGTTGAAATAATGAACATTTGAAAATCAGATGGAAGGAAAGTAGGGTGAAGAATAAAATGAGAGAAGATCATTGTAGCTATAGATGCAACTTGTAGTTGCAAAAAGAAAGCCTGTTGATTTTTTGTCTCATGATGTTGTTTGTTAGGATGTAAGTTCTGCTTTAGCTTCTTCATCAGGTGATGAAGGAGCTGTACTTGTGTCATCACCCTAATTTCATACTGCAAATGTTCAGCTGTGATGTCATATGTCCTTGTGAAGTCAGGGGCACCCAATAATTTTTTTTCTGTAAAACATCTGTTAGAAAAAGCAAACATTGCCTAGAAATTTCTAGAGGTTGAAAAGGCTCAGAATTTCTGAATATCCATTCTATTTGTCTTAGAATTTGAAGAGTCTTGCTACCAACTTAACCTATGACTTTTGGAGGTTGTGTTTTTCACATTTTATTACCATGATATTGTGATTATTGTCAAAAAAGGTGTCCTGAAAAGTTTGGTGTAAAGACAAAATGCCCCTCTAGAATCTTCTAACGAAAGTGTGGCTACTCTTTGTCCTCAAACTTTCGACTGAACCCATCAGGGTAGCCAACAGTTTCTGATAAGATGAAAAAAACCGTCTAAAACTTTCCGGGTGACCAAAGTACATATACCAAAGTTCCCCTAATCATCTGAAACAGATAAATAGTTTTTAGTGCAGCTCCAAACTTACCAGACAGGCTTCCAAAGCTTGGAGGAAACTATTTGAGACACTTCTGACATATTGTGGATTCGTTCGGCCATTGGGTGCCCTCTGAAGTGAAACAGCCATACAGTGTGGTGTCTTGTCCACCACTCACAATCAGCATTACACTGCATATTTTGACAAATCCTTACAAGCACCAAGAGTGATCAACATCACATTTCTCATTGTAATATCAATGCTTTATGCAGCAAAGTGGTCATGAGAATTAAATGCATGACCACACAACATGACTTTCTTCCCCCAACTATTTGTACAGGAAATGTATAGGGGTAATAAATTAGTCATGCATGTTCCCTTTTGAACACTGGCAGAAAACTATTCAAACGCTGCAGTATATATTCTAATTAGCTGTCTCTGTGTTCATTTTAAATAATAAGGCACGTCAGTGAGTCGAAAAGTAGAACAAAGCATAGCGCAAAACATAAGTATTGTTATTGTGCAGCGACCTATTAAGTATTGTTATAGTCTCAATTGCAGAACTGTTTGTTTTGATTTCTCAGAACTGGACCTCAATTCTTGGAATTAGCACCATTGTAATGTAAACGGATAAGCCTGCATTCCTTTTATTGTTAACCCTGTAAACCCCGGTATCCAAATACAAATTACCCAGACTGATCTCCATACATTAGGTGATCATTTCATTAATTCTCACAACATTTTCTCTTGATTATGTATTGACATTGTTAAGAGAAAATTGACTTTGGTCACTCTTGGGACTTAAATAGGGTTAAGTTCCATCTATTTTAAGTAATCAAAACCCCAATCTGAAGGCTTCCAAGTTGACCATCAGCAAGTCTAGTAGACAACTGGCTGACGAGTGAAGTGAGGTAGATCGGTTGAGATTTCTATTATTAGCAAAAAAACGGCTGAATGATTTATGCCTTAAACGTACTAATTTTTTTCTGTGTCACACAATATAGGGGAGAATCAGAGAACAGTTCGAGCTGTCATGGACAAAGATATAGAATCAGCTGATGAAGCTCAAAGAAATAGGGATAGTCGGAGTGGAAATCATTATCATCAGCTGGCAAGGGACACTGCTCAAGCTTTAGCTGAGCTGCAAGTTCCCGGTGCCAGTAATGAAATTATAAGTGCCAATGAAAGAGGCGGAAATGAATCAGAAGCTCGACAAAGAGTTCGTGAGGAAACGCAAAGGGTTGATGAAAGAAGGAGAGCAAATCATTATCATCAGCTAGCTGAAGATACTGCTCAACCTTTGGCCGAGCTTCAAATCTCATCTGCCAGCAATTTTGACAGCGAAGCTGTTAATAGCGTTGACGGTAGAATCGAAAGTGAAAGTCACACAGCCCGTGACAAACAGCAAATCCCAGCTAAGGGGAAACGAAAACCAAAAAAGCATTACCTAGAAGTTGCGAAAGGTACGTCGGGAGCTTTAGCAGAGCTTCGCACACCTTGCACCAGTGATGATCTGACTTCACAACAAGAAGCTCGATTACAATCTCAGTTCCAAACAACTGAGTCTATAACTTGTGAAGAGTCGTTGTCAGAGTACGATCCAAATGCTACTTGCGGATCAGGCTTCTTTCGTGATAGAAGTAATGGAGGAGAGGAATGGTCTTTAGGGAGTCAAAACGAAGCGACTGAATCGTCAACCTTTCCTCGCCAGGAATCTTTTTGTGAATACAATCCAGACGCAACTTGTGGGTCAACTTCTAGACCTTTAAGTAGTTACGCTGACGAAGAGATGCAAACTGAAGGGGAATTGAACTCGTGGGGCCAACGCGAAGCGACCGAGTCTAGTTCATATCAGGAATCGTCATCGGAATACAATCCAGATGCAACTTGTGGGATGGGGTACTGGCAACAGGCGAGTACTGGGATGGATTCTTTTACCGCTCAGGAATCTCTTGCGAAAAACGGCACTGACTACTCAGGCGTTCAATCAGACACTGAGAGACTCGGTAGTAAGGAAACTTCTTGGACTGGTGATGTTCCTAAGCCTTTAGCTGAAAACGATACGCATCCCAGTGCTACTGAAGAAGAGGACGGAAATAAGCAGAAGGACAGCTATTTTTCTAAGCCAGATGGAGAACCTTGCACTAAAAAACCGAAACCCAACCCGGAAATGACCGATCACCTTTCACTTTCCTCACATCCGGAACATTTCCATGAAGAGACGAGACCTTCTTGCTGTTCCGCTCTTGCGCTCAGCCAAGGGTCGATTTCTGAGATGTCGTCGACAATGTCGGAGCAGTTTAAGTCAATGACAACAGAAGACACACAAGAGAGCGTATTACTAAATGATGGAGCTCGTTCAAGGGATACTGAGTGTCTGAGCTCAGAATTTGAACACATGAATATCGACGAGTACGATGGCGTTGAACCAAGTACCGGTTCTTACTCTTCTGTTAACTCGCAAACAAGTGAAAACGTGGATTCCCTTAAGAGCGCCACTCAAGATTCACTAAAAGATATAGAAAATTGCGCGTCATATTCGAGTGGCTTTGAGACTCAAGTTCATAACCAGGTACCAGCACCGATGAACGAAAACGCGGAAGTGGCTGGTGCAGTATCCGGCGAAAGTTTGACGTCAGTAAGTAGTATTCCCCAAGGTGCTAGACCTAAGACTAAAGTGAAGGTACCTAGAGGAAAGAAAAATAAAACACCAAAACAAAACACCAAAAACCCTTATAATGAGCTTGCGAAGACGGTATCTGCTGACTTGTCAGCTTTGAACATAAAGATGGATAATTCACGATCTGGAAAATCTACTGGAAACCATCTCCGAGATGATTTTAGAGATCAAGAGTTACTTGATGGTGGTAGCTCCCAAGCTGCAGGAACAAGCAACTCTTCGGGAAACGTGTCTCGCTCAGAGTTTGGGCAGGTTAATGCTCGACAACAGCCAAGTGAAGAACAGCTTAACAGACCTCATGAAGGAAATCAGAGCGAAGATTGGTCATTGTCAGGGGATGGTGCACAATTGTCGAACCAAAGAACTAACGTAGTCTCGCAGCACACGCATGCTACCTCGCAAAACAAGGATTTTACCTCGCAACAAACGCAAACTTCCTCGCGGCGAAGTCGTAACTCCCCAGAGGCGCGCGCTGCTGCTGAGTATTGCAGACAACAGGTGCAAGAACAGCAGAAGTTGATTGACAATATGGCACCCGAACTACAAGCCTTGGTGATTGAAATGATACGGCGTGATGAAGAAGAACTAGGGGGAGGGCACGTGCTCCGTGATGTACCCTTTCAACCGCCTATTCCCCCGAGGGAACAAGCTGGGACTTGCGAGCAAACCAACAGCCAGGAGGCCAGCGCCCAGGGTAGGTCACAACAGTCCGGTGGCAAAAAATCTAAGAAGGGAAAAAAGAAGAAAGGTCATTATGTGGAACTCGCTGGTTTGATAGCGCCAGAGCTGACAAAACTTAATGGTGTGATGAACGGGCACAGAGAAGAGCATGAAACAACAGCTGCGAATGGAGCAGCAGGGATAGATCAAAGCGATGGGGCCAACCAAGGCGCTGTGGGTCATTCGCCACACGAAGAAAATGGCTCTCTTCAGGGAATGCGTCACAATGGTACATATTCAAATTCTCCGGGGCCATCCTATCAAGGTGCTTGGGGAGGCTCATCACGTGGTCAGTCACATGTTCAAAGCTCACAACCTAATCGACAGAGACGCGGAAACGGAAACCATAGCATGGGTAAGCGCCCTCGGTAATTCTGTGGGCATTTGTTTTGGCCATCACTTTTTTTTCCAAACAAAAAAAAACATTTTTTATTTTCTAAATGTAGTCGTTATCAAAATGACCCAGTAATCGGCTTTTTATCGGGAGATAGGCGAAGATAAAGCGAGAACGCACGACCTTACGGGGACGGGGAAAGGAGTAAGGCACCACGATCTCATGGAACATTAGCCTGATTTAGCAACAGAACGGGAATGTCAGTTGACGACGGCACGGGCAAATCAGACACCTGGCTTGACCAATGGCAGAGCGGCAATTAGAGCACCAAAAGTCGAGTTCAGTCCTTTGCGCGCGCTTTCCCGTCGCCAACTGACGTTCCCGTTCTGTTGCTAAATCAGCCTATTATCTCATGCTACATCTAAATACGTTTTCTGGTACCAACACACTTTAAAGTAAAACCCCGTCAAACGACCCCCTTGTTGATACGACTACTCCACAATTTTCCACTTTTTTCTATCTCGGCCTCGCGATAAACGATACAAATGCAAACCAGCCAAAGTCTAGAGAATATGTTGTCTATTCTTATCCAAGGCGGCAAAAATTTCTTAAATCTATGGTTGAAAGGTTCGAATAAATTCTGCTGACCAGTACTCCCCATAAATCGCCCGCCAAGCCCAAACATAAGCAGAGAAGTCGCAAAGTGTCTATCGTTTTCCCATCTAGAACCCCTCTTCTCTCGCCTTAGAATAATCTTCGTGCGGTTACTCTCTATTCTCTGCGTGCAGTGCTTCTTTAACGCGTGAAATTTCATTGCTACTCCACGACTCAGAAACTATGTAAACTGATATCAGTAGACTGGCTGTGATGATCGTTTCCTTTTAACGTCTTAACGTTAACAGGTTAACATAGTAATGTCCCGTCGTAAATGTACCTTCAAAAGAAGCAATCAAACAGGTGAAAATCTCTATCCCTCTGAGGGGAAATCTAGTGTGACCGCAACTGATGTCTTTTGTCTCATTCCAGGTGGTGGTGGTGCGAATTCTCTTGGTACCAGGAATGGTAAGGAGAACCGAATCCAGTCGTCTAAACAGCGGAAGTCTAAAGAGGAAGACAAAAACAAAAGCAGCTCATCTCAAATTGGAAACATAGCGTCTTCTTTGCACGAGCTGAACGCTCGCCTCGAAGAACAACAACGCCAAGAGCGCGGACGACAATCCACGAACGGATCTGAGGCCCGAAGTTCTCAAGGGGAAGGGCCGGACGAATCCGTGACGCATGACACGACTTGCGCTCGGTCACACACCTCACCGGCAAATGGTCATAAGTAGAGCGTGCAAGCGTAATAGTTTGGTATGGCGTGCTAAAAAACGGAGCAAAAAAGGTTTTAATTCAATAAATATACTCTGTATATGTTTTATTATCCTCTGCGTTGCAATATAACTGCCTTTCATACGCGAAGTCTCAGAACTTTCATTATCCTCGAAGACCCAGGGGTAGTCAGTCGGGTGTGGAGAGAATACGCGACGAAAGTTTTCAAGCACGGGCGGAAAAGTCCCTTGGTACCGACTCTCACCAGACCATTTCCAAACTAGCCTGTTCGCAAGGCATCTATTTTCTCTTCAAAGTCCGTCGAGCACGCGTAATAAAAAATAAAAACCGCGGGGAATTTATTGACCGCCAGCGCAAGGGGGTTGGGGCGGGAGAAGAAGAAAATGTTCATTTTTCTTTCTCGCGCTCTGCGCTCGCTCGCGCCCTCGCCAATGTTTTCCAAAAGAACGAAAAGAAAAATAAAGCAACATCTGTGTACAGGCTATTTCCATACGGTCAAGCGAATGTCGGCTCCTGATGAAGCACAAAAAATGCTGTGTATTATTGCTTCTCTTGAGTTCTTTTCGTGTGTTTCTACGCGACGATTATTGTTTCACCATAATTGCCCGGTTCGTTCACAAAGGTTGTGTGTTTTAGGGAGATTTTTATGTTCTACTTTCCTAACCAAAAATTTGAATGGTCTGGTGAGAGTCGGTACCCAGGGGCTCTTGCCCCCGTCCTTGAAAACTTTCGTCGCGCCTTTTTTCTGGACCCGACTGACTGCCCCTGGGTCTCCAAGGATGAACTTCGACTCATTCGCAGTGGAACGTGTTCTGTTTATTACCCATGCAGTTCATTGTGCTCTCAGTGTCTCGAACGAACCGTGTGAATTACAGTATTATATATAGATGGTTTTCACTGTGACGTCATCAAAATGTAAAGTCAAGATAACGAGGTTTTACGAATTCTTATTTACACTATAAGGTTGAAGATAAACAAAAAGTAAATCTTTGTACAAGTTTCCATTTCCGTAGCATGTTTCATTTCGAAAATACAGCAATTTGGACTTCCGAGTTTTCACAATGCGTGACACCAAAATAGGAATGCTGTCTCGTTGAAAAAAAAGTCTCTCCTCTTGATTTTCAGCAGTATAACCACTTCAAGTATTAGAAGATATGTTTCTGCGTACGTATGCTAGTTCTCGAGTGAAAAGAAAGAGCTTTTATAGAATAAGTGAACTCCAGATATTTTTGTTGATTTCCGGCGGCCATATTGGTGCACCAAAACGATGCACCAATATGGCGTCTCCATACAAAGCTCTACAAAGGTGCGTGAAACGTTTCGGCAAATAACTCAGAAACTGTAGGCCACAAAGACCTTGGACTTGGATAAAGTGTTTATATATAAGTCTTTTATAGCATGTCATTTTCTTGGCTTCCTCCACAGGACGGTTTCCAATTTAATTTTTTGTTGCGTGACAGTGAAAACGATGTATAGTAATTTGAGTCCTTTGTATTGTATAATTATTACAATTAGTGCTAATTAACAGTTACAAACTATAACCTTTTTGTTTTGTTTTGTTTTGTTTTGTTTTTTTCTTTTTTGAACAGCCCTAATTCTCGAGAATAATAGGTTTTTCGAAACTTTCTACGAGGTTTAAATTAAACATTCCAGCAGCTGTAATCGTGATAACGTGAAAAAAAATGAAGTGGCCCCTTTCTCCCGACCACATTAGCCTGCGAACGCAGACGTATTTCCGGTCGTCGCTTCTCGGGTACCGTTTGTCGGGATCGTGTGTTGTCTTTGTCGGTGACCATGCGGCGACGGATTACGATGGTTGCAGTCCAGTCCTGATTAAAAGAAACAAACAAACAAACAAACAAAAACAGATTCTGGTAGTTACCGTTGTGTTTTGTTTCGTAGCTTTTCAAACCTTTTTCGATAGTATAAAACTGCGCTTTATTTGCCGATCTCGTTCCCAGGAGTCCCTACTATCCTTGGAAGGGAGCTTAAGCAAAGACGACGGTGACGGCAGTAATAGCTTCGCCAAAAAATCCTATCAAACTTAATCGGGTCCATCTGGACCCGCTCAATTTGTTTCCTTTGGTTGATTGGAGGCAAAAGAAAGAAGATAGCTTCCGCAAGCCTTTGTTTGAAAAGGCCTACTCGTGTCAACCGAGAGAACATAAAAGCCTCGAGCTCTTGTGTCAACCAACCATCCACGTACCCGTTTACTAGGAGGCAATCATTCTGGGCAGAAATAATGGCGTGACGACAGCTTTCAAGTGGCAGAAGAGTTTGGTCCTTAAAGATACAGTATTTACTTACAATTGTATTATGATAAGCCAAACAAGACTGCTTGAATACAGAATGTGTTTGAAGTGTGATTTCTATAACAACAGTTATACAAAAAGTTAATCAATTCCTTTCAATATCTAACCACTTCGCCATTAACTTCCCAGGAGCCCCGGAGGATACACAACTAAAGTTTTATACGGGGAAGCTCCGCCCCGAAGGTTTGACCTCTTGCCCTTTAACCCATTAAACCCGAAGATCAAAATTTGAAATCTCATTTGTTGCCCCTATTCATTTCCTACAGAAGTAGTGGGGAGAAGTTCATAAAATATCAAACAAATTCATCTTGTGTGATCATGTCCGTAATTCTCATGACCACTATGTTTTACAAAACTTTGATATTACAAGGAGAAATTTGATGCTGATCACTCTTAGGGCTTAACAGAAAAGGCACCCCTTTCGTCTACCTCCAATTTACAAATTGTAACCCATTCACAAACCTAGATATTGAAAAGTATTCTTGTTCCCTAACATTAATAAAACGGTCATGCTCCCTCGTTCCCAAAAAACCTGCAGAGGCGGCTTGTAGTTAACCCTTGAAGCCCCAATATACACATAAAAATTCTCCAAACTGTTCTCTATACATTTTATTAAAGAATGTGTTGTGAGAATTTGATAAAAGATCAAGGCATTTTCTCTTAGGTGATCATTTATTAATTCTCACAATCTTATCTCTTGACAATGTATGGGTATTGTTAGGAGAAAATTGATGTTGGTCACCATTGGGACTTAAACGGTTAAAAAGTCTAAAAAGAGTTTTTTTGTTTGGTTGAGGGAAATATTTTCTCCGAGGCAATTCTTAGGGCCGGATCAGACGCCGAACTTTTCATGTTTCGAACCTAATGAGTGAATTATTATAACGTATTTTGCAAGCAGTTTGACCGAAATGAGCATTTTTCTCCTTTTGAATTTTGCTCGGCTGGAATTGAGATCAGCCGATCTAAATAATTTGGGTCGGCCTTAATTCGAATTATGCCTCATGAAAAGTTCGGCGTCTGAACCGGATCATACTCAAAAAGGTTTTTCTGAACTGCTGACTCCGCAAAAGGTAAGGGTTTGATATTCTTTTCACCAATTCAGACACTGTTCATAGGAGTGATCGAAAAAAATTCTAAAATCGCATTGGACTGGGAAAACCACAGGGAAGGCAAGAACAAACCATGTACAAAACCGTTGTTATTGAGATTTCCGATCTGCGACCAGTTTTAAAATGCTTTAAACCTCTCCTGGCATCTCCTGGGTATAACAGTCGTCCAAAGAGGAATTGAAGACAACGCTTACGCAAAATTTTGGAGCGGGGGGGGGGGGGGGGGGGGGGGGGAGAGAAAGGGGGACAACGAGGGGGGGAGAAGAGAAAATAAAAGGCACGAGGAGGGCAGTAAAAAAACAAATCATAAACTCTTTATTTACAAACAGAGGATCGGGGGGACCTACGTTTTTCAAAAAAAACACGAATACAAATAGTTATTTTCAAACATTCACTCACGGGTACTTTAATAAAACTGATAACCCCCTCCGGCGGCCGCGGGGGAGAAAACGGGGGCGAGGAAAAGGAAAAGAAAGAAGCTGAAGGAAAAGTGGGGGGGGGGGGGGGGGGGGGGGGGGTCGAGTGGCAAAAATGGTGTATCAACGATGATGGCAAATGAACAATTTCATGAGTCAGCGTGCGTATCAAAACATACATCTAGTTCATCTAGTTAACTAAAGTGGACTGGTTGGGAAACTCTTTGTTATAGGTTTTTAGCTGGTTTTTGTTAGTCTTTTTGGACCTGACCGTGCACAACGTTCAATAGCATTCCTATCATTTTGAATTTAGTGACCAATAGTGACCATTAAATTATTCATTCATAATTTGTGAACAGAAAACAAAGGGTTGTGCACGATCAGGGAGCTTCAAAAACCTACGGCGCCATAGTTTTCAACTTGCATGTTTGCCGGGTTTCCTAACCAGTCTCCTCCACTATATCTAACTATGGTATGAAGCACGCCGGAAGTTTCTAGAGCACGAAAGAGGCGTAACAGTTGCTCGAGGAGCAGTCGAGAGCAATTAGGGAGCTTTATTAGCAACGGCGACGGCAACAAAAACGACAAAAATGCAATGGGTTTGTTACGCAAAACAACTTTGCACGTGCATCACGCTTTTTTGTACATTTCTTTGCCGTCACTGCACTTCTGTGAAAATGCCTGATTTCACGCTTTTTGGAGGACGTAAACAAGCGACGACGAATTTGTCTTTCTCTTTCTTAAATTTGAGTGCAGTTCCCAAGAAATCAACTCTAGGGAAATTGGCCTACATTTGACATTTTCAGCGGATTGGAATAAACGCGACAAAGGTTTTCAAAGTGACGTTTTCGCTGCCGTCGCCGTCGTCGATGCTAAAGTTCTCTATTCTAGCGTCTTGAATGCACTCTAAACTCCCCAAGTGCTCATATCTTGGCATACGCACGCTGTGAGCAAATTGTTTTATGACATTTTTGATGCGATCAATGCGGCAGATAATTATAGCGCATGCTCAAAGTAGTATACGTCAGTGTCCACGTGAGATGGGTGCTTACCAACTATACAAACCACCCTGGTGGAAAGTCTTCTCTCCAGCCGCCTCCACGTTGGAAAGCGAAAAGACCCTGAGGACGAGGTTGGTGGAAATCTTGTAGGAGCCAATAACCCGGAACATGCAACTCCCACACTTAGCCCCCACTTAGCCTATGCAACGGCGTTTTCACAAGTCGAGTTATTTTTAACATCATTTTGGAGCACTTTCTCCGCGAAAATTGAAGTACCGTTCAGTATACGTATACGATAAAAACGAAAAGTAAATGCTATCAAAGCACCAGAAATACGTTCTTCAAGTCTCCGGTTTTGCCGATTGATTTGTAATGACCAGGGGCGGATCTAGGGGGAGGGTGCAGGGGGTGTGCACCCCCCCCCCGAGAGACCTGCTGTTTTCTAATATAACTGGTATTCTGCAAAAAAAAAAAAACTATGTGGTTTATTGGTGTTGAAGTAGAGCAAGAGACGAGTGCACCCCCTCCTAAAAAAAACAGTCCTGGATCCGCCCCTGAATGACTTACTTGATATTCAAAATTTCGCGAGAAAATCCATCTTAAAATAAACTGGCCTTTGAAACGCTGTGCACCGGGGCACAAGGGAGTTGTTCGTTCCAGGTTATGGGCTCCTGATCTTGTAGATAAATATAAAACTCGATGAATTTTGACGTGGTAAAAGAGCAACCCACTGCAAATGCAAAGTACCGTAAAATTCGGAAAGTAATGCCCTCCATGAGTATAAGCCCCCCAACTTGTAACGCAAAAAACGCCCCGTTAAATCTCCCCTCCAAATAAAAGCCCTCAGGGGGCTTGTACTTGGAAATTGCCTTCAAATACAAAGGAAACCAAAGCAAAAACGGTACATTTCCTTCCAACTATAGGGCTAGCCCAATCGATTTTGAAACTCTAATTTTTCTCTATAGATAAGCCCCTCCAAAAATAAGCCCCTCAAAAAGGGCCTTTGAAAATATGAGCCCCGGGGCTTATTTTCGGAATTTTACGGTATATCCGAATCTGCTGAAAGGAATTAAAAGAGTGGAAAAATTGAATCGCCTCATATCACAGTCCATTAGTTTCTAAAGCTTCCCAAACGGGAATGGTGCGAGCCATTTGATTTTCCAACAGGAATTTCCATATTCACCATGCAATGTAACTGTCTGCTACTGGTACCGCAGATTTTGTTTTTACCTCAGTTTACGTGACGAAATCGTTTTCCAAGATATTGAGAAAGAAAACCAGTATTCACCGAAAATGTTTTTTTTTTTCTGAGCGAAAATATTTTGCAAAGAATGATTGCACACTCCGTAGCGCAACAATCATCGTTTACATATGGATGCACTTATACTTACCACACTTTACTTGTAGTGACTTGGGTGGCCTGTGGTTACCTTCGAGAAAAATTCCGAATCTTCTCATCCGGGTAATTCTTTCCGATATCACGTGACATTCTGTGGCCCTCATGTCGTCATATTTGTTTTGGTCTGAGGAAGTGCAGAGTTGCAGATTTCGAACGATTACTCAGCAGAGAACATCGATAAACACGTTTTTACAGCTCAGAATCTCATTTTAAGCTCTGATAAAGCTTGCCCAGATGACCAGTACGGTCAAAGTGAAAGCGGAGTCTTCCACTATCACTCGCCGATTCGAGATTGACTCCAAATGTTCTTGGGATGAACTGAGATTACAAGTAAGTTCTTTGTTGTTTCTTTAAAGATTTTCAGAGACAAAAGCGTTGTTATCCTATTGAAGTCTCGCTGACAAAGTTTCTTGAATCTTTCTTTCTTTAGATTAGACGATTATTCGACTTGCAAGACGACTTTAGTTTGAAATATATTGATGACGAGGATGAATTGGTAAGCATTCAGCCACCAGGCTGTTACTTGTATGTAAGCTTAGCTCATAGCTGCGTCTTAATTTCTGGCATATGCAGCAGATTAACATGGTTACAATGTTTTAAAGATAGCTTATAACGCTAGTTTGTTTATAACTTCATTATTATACTCCGATCCTAAACGCATATGCATTTGCAATGATGCTAAGCGCTCTAAGCTAATGATTTTTGTTTGTTTCTTGAATTCAGGTCACATTAGGAACGCATGGTAAGTTAAAACAAAAGTCATTTTTCTATTATTTTTCTAAGCCAGTATTTTCTTCTAGCATCGACCCATTTTTAATAAAAATTTTTAACCAACGAGTTATGTGTTCATTCAGCTTGCACTACTAGCTGGTACGTTTCGTTATGGAAAAACTCATATCATTTTCGAAGTGCAGTTTTGTTTACCATTTTAAGCTTGCTGTCTCAGTCTTATGTAATTTTAAAATGTGTTTTAACCTTATAGAAACTTAAAATTATGCAATGCTTCTTGTCTATTCTGGTTTATTTTTTCTGGACTTAATTGCTTGTTGCAGTCATTATTTAGATGTAGAAGACATACCTTGCAACTCTCATAGAAAGCCAAAAGCCAGAAGAGTTTTAAATTCTCAAATTCGTCAACTATAAAAGTACTGAAAACAAGCATTGCCTTCCAAAATACTGTCAGAGATGTGAATGGTCACAACATTGGTTTTTGTCAACTGAAGTCAACCGCAGTTTATGCCTTCATAAAATTATAATATTTTTGTGTAGGATACGTCTGTGAATGTTTTAATCTAAGGTATGAATGTGAATTGGTGAAAAACTGAACCAGTAAGTATAATTATGACACTTTCAGTTACAAGTTTACTCAGTTTCCCCAGCCTACGTAAACAAGGGATGTTTTACTGGGCATCCTGTTTATCCCAAGTCATCAACCTTTATAATAAATTTAGCCATCTTGCAAAGCAGTCAACAATGACAGTAACCCCAATATTCGCAGCTTACAGGCTGAAGCAATATCAGTTTTAAAGTAGGAATTAATGTATGAATTAAAAAAGTGACAAAGAAATCCCTTTCCAAGATATATACATGACTACTGTTTGTACTGTAGAAAAATTATACTTGACTACAATGATTATCTTGAAGCTGGCCTGCTATGAACCAGATGTAGTAATCTTCTTTTATTTTGTTTAACTTAGTCATGATACAGTGAACCCTCATTAAAACAAATTATTTCCTCATTTCTTGATTCTTTGTTATATTGAAGTTCGGTTAGCACTGTAATCGTAAACTTCGTTTCTCCAGGGTCAGATACATAGAACCTCATGTCATTTCTCCAGACTGAACTCCATACTGTCCTTTAAAGAATAAGTTGAGAAAAATAAAAATTGATGAAAGAGCAAAGCATTTTCCTTTAGGTTAACAATTTTAGTAATTGTCATTTTCTTTTGACCTCATTATATTTTTATTTTTTATTCTGATGGGAGAATATTGATTTTGGTCACTCTTAGATCTCAAAAGGGTTAACTGCTAACATGTGGTGTTCAAATTCAGAAGTTGATCACGAAATTGGCTGGATATTGGCCCTAGTGGTTACTCCAGTGTTAAGATTTATACAACTTCCTTAGAATCTTTGGATTGATCATCAAAACAGAGGCAAATGACAGCCTGTACTTTATGTAGTTAGATTTTGGTATCGATCATTGCAAGTTAAGAGGAGAACTTGCTTTAAAAATTATTTTTATGTGACAACATGCTTTTTTTATTGTTTCTAGGTGAGCTGGAGGAAGCTTTGAAGGTATGCTAAGAATGTCATACATGTATATGTACTCTACTTTATGACGAAAAACAGAATTAGTTAAAAATGTGGTACATGGGGTAATTTAAAAACAAAAACATAAGTTAGCATAAATGACTCTATAAACTAATACGCATTATAAGATGTGTTATCTATGTAAAGACAGTATTTTTGTAAAGACAGACTGCAAAATGTGCGTTTCATAAACATCTCTGGCATTCGTGTACAGCTCCAGCTGCTTAACCAATGAATGGTGTTTTATTTTTTCAACCAGTTAAGGATATTGCACACTTTCAAAGTCAAGTTTTTCTGCCAAGGGTGTTACAATTTTTTCTGGCTGAGTTCCAGCAAAACCCAGTGGTTATAACTGATGAGAAGAAAAGGCAATTCACCTTTCTTGGAAATTGTGTTAATTTTAGTCTGCACACTTCTTCCGTCATATTCTTAATCAGGGCTGTCTCTCAGGCCCTAGTTCAATCCCTGCCTAGCTGCTAGCTGGAATTGTCCTTGGTAGTCCTGAGTTCACCTCCTCAGTCAACCATGTAAAGAGCCAACTGTTTTGCCTCCAGCCAGTTGGGATGTCAACCTTGTGGGCCACAATTAATGAAAACTACTGGGTTACTAGTAACTGTGTTACCCTGTTAAGTCAGGTTTTTCTATTTAAAAAGTCTCAAAATAACTTCCCATCTGTTAAATTCCCTGCTTACTAATTTCATGCTCCCAGTAAGTTGAAATTGTACTAACACCCCTGTGTATAGACACAGGGCTTAAAGAAAATTGAAAATTGAAATAAAATATTAGCTTGTGCAAATACATTTTTTCTGCTTAGCACCCTTTTATCCTTGTCTAAGGTTAGGAATAATTCAATAGAAGATGACGTGTCTACAATCTTGGACAAAACTGTTGAGAAAGTACTTGGAAAATACTTGGAGGGCATTTTTTCTAAACTTCATAGCCGACTGATTCTTCCCTCCCCCCTCCCCCTGGAAGCAGTGTTGTTGGGTCTTCAAAAGAAAGCCAGATCCCTAAGCATTTGTAGGAAGCAACTTTGAACTGGGGGAGGGGGTTTTCTTTACGCAAAGCCGTTGATTTGGAAATAGTCCTGTTGCATTAGGTAGTGTGCATTAATGAAAACATTTTCTCAAGTAGTTTTGTCCAGGATTGTAGGTCTTTGCCCACTGAGCAAGTGATCATGAAAAGTTACTTACATGTGCCTGGAAGGAAAATCTACTCCTCCTGGTTGGCCAAATGGGGCTTTTTTGAGCTCTGAGAATTTCCTATGTTCTCTTGTTTCACTCTGAAAAAATGTCTCATTTTCAACACATAAAGCCAATTTATTGAAAGTGAAGCAAAGGGAGGAGATGACAATCATGTTCATGATAGGGTTCACAGTGTACATCAGAGTAGCTAGTATTTAAACATCACTTCTGTGATTCATGTACTTTGCGGTCACCAGGACACCAAGGAAGTCAGTTTTACAGTTTGCCATTTGGGCAAGCTGTGCAGGGGGTAGCTAGCATATACTAGCCCAGAAGTCATTTCAACTAGCTAGAAAAAAATCTAAGTGAGCAGTGGATTGGTTTCTGTTTTTCTGTAATTTGAATTCCCCCCAAAATTCACATCCCTGTGGGAAAAGTTAAGACTAAAATTCACTGGCTTCATAAAAAACTACTTTCTTAGCATCCTGGGATACTTGTTAATGAACAATAATTTTTTTTAAACAATTTTCACAGGTCACCCAGAAAACAGGCTTACTAAGGCTGTTTGTGGAGAGTTCTTCTGATCAAGGGCCTCTTGTGGGAATTGAAAGTTTTGAAGACTTGCTTGGTGAACCCAGTAAAGAGACACCTGTAGTAAGTATGATTATTAGCTATATTGAATGAGGCTGAGTAGGATGTGAAGAATTATGCAGATTGAGGAGGATGTTATTCAATGAGGCTCAGGGGGATAACATCTTCTGAGATTTGCATAATTATTCACATTATACGAAAGCTGAATTCAATAATAAATAATAATTATAATAATTGTATTATGTAATAATTATTGATTATGTTATAATTAAGGGACTTGTCAGAAATTAGCAGGGGTGAGGGGAGGTGGAGATTTTCAGTGTAGCAATGAAAATAAAATGACCCTCCCTTGGTAAGGGATTAAAATGTCCCGACCCTCCCCTGGAAAGCATCCTAAAATTTCTATGACCCTCCCCTGTATAAATGATAAGTGCGAATTCTTATACAGTGGTACAAGGAAACAGTTCAGTATTCAAAAAAGGAATCTTGCATTAAAACTGACCTATGACGAACATGCGTGCGTTGCGTGTTTCTTCTGTTGGGCAAACAGGACAAAAAAAGTTTTTGGTTTAATGAGATGATAACAGTTCCTCCTTCATGACTATAAGAAACAAAGACAGACTCACCGAGATCAGACAATTTTCATGGAAAAAGTTAGACTTCTGGGCCCAGTTGCTCGAAGCATGGTTAGCGTTAATTAGCGCTTAATACCTTGACAACGTATTGGTTTTGATACTGCTTAACCAATGGTTAAAGCTAACCATGCTTTGAGCAACTCAGCCCTGGATGTTGTTTCAGTGGAGAACACTTCAATAATGCTCCAGCCAGGGGCGTAAGACTAGTCACAAACAGCAGGTTATAGAAATGGGTCCATTAAAACCTTATGAACCACCTCTCTCAAAGTAAAATCAAGTAGGAGAAGTTGCACTCTACACAAGAAAGATCAGGAAATTAATGATCAGTTAATATTTTAACAAGAAAAGTGCACTCGACTGTTTAAGGCAACATACCTTCAGCCAAAAAGAAGGAAACGTAAACAGAAGCAAACATTAGAGAAAGGCCAAGAAAGCAAAACGGAACAAAATGAAGACTAACTGTAAACTTACTGATAATTATGAGAACCATTACACCCTAGCATAATGATAGTGATGCAGAGCCCATAGGTCCCTTAGAACTCTATTATGAAGTAATTAGCTCTCTAAAAAAGAATCAGTTGCCTCAGTTACATCCAAATACCTTTGACAAGAGACTGTTCACTGTGGCTTTAAAGGACATTATCAAGCAACCTATGACATTTACCGCAAGTGAGACAGAGGATGATCATAGGAATGGTGGGCATGATGATGAGGATATTGATGATGATGATTGCGGTGGCAATAATACAATGTTGTCAGGGTTGTCACTAAGATTTCAAGTTGCCGGGTGAATACAACAAGTAGGCGGGGAATCAAACGGCTAGGGATTTCTTTTGGTTCTATTTTTCTTCTATTTTCCAATAAAAGTAGCCGGGGGCCACTCTCTTAGTAGCCAGGGAAAATCCCCAGCCCTCGGCTCTTAATGACAGCCCTGGTTGTTGATGATAATATTCATGATGATGGCAGCACTGCTGGTGTTGATGCTGTCAAAGAGGGAAGGCAGTTTTCTTGAGATATTTGAAAATTGACATGCAAAAGCAAAACATGAGCTGTTAGTTTTATAAGTTAGGTTCTTATACTTTCAATAGCTTGTCTTGTTAATACACCTCCACTTAACAGCCACCCTCGGGGTACTGGCAATTGGCCGCTTAAAAGAGGTTGGTCATAAATTAGTAGTAATCTTTCGCATCACTTTATTTTGAAACAAACAGAGGAGAATATAATTATTTGTGGTTAAATTTTTGTTTGCCATTGTTGATTGGTGTTGTTTTCTAACTTTAGGCTCAAAAACGTAAATTTGTGGTCAACACCACTACTCCGTTAGAGCCAAACAGCACTTTCAAGACAGCGAAAATGGATGATCCTGCCATCTCAGAGGCGGAGAAGTTACCCCCAGACTCCTCAGAACCTGGAACCAATGTAGTGAGTTCCTTTGAATTTGGATTGCCATCCAAAGAGAGCAAAGAAGAAGATGAGGGTAGAACTCAGACGGTTGTCATGCCTGTAGAATCATGGTCCTCCGATGCTGCTGATAAAGACAACATGCCCTTTTCAAGAGAGCAGTACACCCCTTTGGTTCAGTTGATGGTTCCCCTGCCCGCTGGACAACCTCCACGACCTCCACCACCTTCAACCAAGCCCAGGAAAGGTCCAGATGGGGCTAAAGGCTGCTACACCAAGCTAGCCGAAAATGTTGCTTTTGAACTGGCAGCTGTGAATGAACAGCTTAATGAAAAGTTGCGCACCTCTTTTGAGAAGCAACAGTCTGAAAATAGACTTGGGCAAGGGATGGATGAAGGAGAGGATACGTATGTGTTTGTTAATCAGCAGGGTAAGATAATCAGTTGAATAATTTTATCATCATTGTCACTCCAAGCCTACAGCAGGAAAACAATTTTCAGCTCAAAGACATGAACAGCTTTCCATACCCTTGTCTCTGCCTGTAACATGATTATTAAAATATGCAACATGATTATCAAAATGTGCAACATGATTATCAAAACATGAAACATGATTATCAAAACATGCTTGAACATAATATTTAATCCAGAGAATCAAGAGAAAACATGTGATGATCTTTCTTGTTTTTGTTTTCATACATGCTACACGACATGAATAACACTACATGATCAGTCCTCAACCTTAGCAGTGGTCCACTAGCCCATGATTAATAAGAAATGGGATTAGGCTGGTAAATTTTCAGAACAACTACCCACCGGGCTAGTCTAAGTAGAAAGACAATTAAAGAAAAAAATCAGTTTTCGTTGATCGCGGCGGACAAAAATAAATTAAGAAACTTATCCAATAACTCCATTTGTGGTAAGTGGGACTGGTAGGAGGACTGCACACTAGTGGGACCCAGTAATAATTTATTGTAATGCAATGATCACCATCTTGATTGGGGCCTTGGTCAACATGAAGAGAATACAGTCAACTCTCTCTAAGATGGACACCTTTGGGACCAGCACTAGCTGTCCATCTTAGAGAGGTGTCCATCTTATAGAGAGTCAAATAGAGGGAGCAAAGAAAGGCAGGCACCAACTTTAGGTGTCCGTTTTACATAGGTGTCCGTCTTATAGAGGTGTCCGTTAAGAGAGAGTCGACTGTAGACTCTTTTTTCAAGCAATGCGATACTCTTAAGAGAAAGCAGCATGTCAAGTGCTGAATGGACAAACAACTCAAGCTCAGACTTTGCTAAAGAAGCCTGACACTTTCAGTTTCATCCCGAGTGGAAACCAAAATTTCTTCTTTTACTTTTTCTTTTAACTTGATATTTTTCTTTGATTATCACTAATAAACACGAGCTTTCATTGATTCTAGTTATCTCACAAAATAAGCAGCAAAATTATTAGTATTCAGACAATCCAGGCTTAGACTTGCCTCTTTTGAGCTCAATAAGTGTGCGGCAAGAGCAAAATGTTCAAGCCCAGGCTTGGCTACCAGGTGGTGACCCTTGGCTAGTAAATCTTAAACCTCACTAGCCTAAGGACTAGTAAGTTAACAAGTTAAGGTTGAGCACTGCTTAAAAACCACAGATTTATTCAAATTACAGTCAATTTTTTCTTAGTGGACAAACGTATTAGATGGACACCTTCCTAAATTGGACAATAATGTACAGCCCTTGTTGCTATTCATTCTTTTTTATTTGCCTCTCAGTGGACTGCCCTCTATGAGGAATGCATTTACGATTTGCCCTTGGTTCCAGTTTCTGAAAGGGGTTGACATTATGAACCCGTTAAGCCCCGATATCCATATACAAATTCTCCTCTGTACATTTTCTTAAAAAATTAGTTGAGAGATTTTTGATAAAAGATCGGAGTATTTTCTCTTAGGTGACCATTTTATTTATTCCCATAAGCTAATCTCTTGACAATCTATGGATATTGTTAGGAGAAAATGATTTTGGTCACCATTGGGACTTAAAGGATGAATTGATACTTAATTACAACATGGAGATTTGCTTTGCAACTCACTGTTTAAGTGTACATGCACAGTCTCTCTAACAGTAAACCCAGGTCTTGTTTACTAAGGGTTGATTTCCACTGTCACGTAATTTTTCCTTGTGAATGCATGTAAATTTTACCCGCATAGATAAAACAGAGGCGATGTATGAAAGACCTCGTGTAAACGTAAAAGTTAAGCGAGGTTCGACTTTTACATTTACGCGTGACCTTCCATACATCGCCTCAGTTTTATCAACCCACATACATATGGAAAAATTACGCTACGATGGAAATCCTCCCTAAGGGTCAGAGGCTAAGGATTTCCTATAACTGTAAGATACTTTCATAGGAAACATAAGGAAAAATAGACCCAAAAGAACTTCCTAGTTGTTCAATCCCTGCCTGTAATTGCATTTTTTTAGCAATGTGAAATCTCAGTGCGAAGCCCTGAAATCCACCTCGTTTATCATAATATTTTACTATTTACAATGCTTTTCTACGTGACAAGTACACTGAGTAGGTATGAATTAAACTTATTGTCTGTGTATGTTTTTTTTTTTTTTTTTTTTAATAAGGCAATCTGTTAGAAACCGATGAAGACATGACCCTTGCAAATGAGGTGCTTAATTCCTCTTCTAATCAGTCTGGAGAAACAGAGGAAGAAAGCTTAGATGACGAGAGTCCTTGTTCACCACAGAATTCTCTTGCTTCTGACGGCAATGGCTTTGATCACGCCTCGATAGAGCAAACTGTTCACCGAATTGTTCAAGAGGTAAAATTAATGGTCAAGAGACTTGTAGCACAATACTCATTATATGAACACTTAAATTTTTGCAAGCAGGTAATAGAATGATTTTATTCAAACCTCCTCTTTGAGAAAAAAGACTGTAGATAAGAAATATAATGATTGAAATATTTAGCAAATCAATGACACTTTTCACTGCAGTGGTCTCACTGCAAAGTTTTACAATAACGTTAATAGTTTGGGACGTCCATTTCCATTGAAGTTGCTTGGAAAATCCTGTAGGGGCAAGTAGAGAGAAAAATGCTAGAAATGCATCACCATCGTGCCTTTTCCATGGTCTGTACTTTTATAGACCATTGCTCTCAACCAATCAGTGCATGCAAAATCAACAAGTTATTGTAAAATATTATTGAGAAGAATTTGATAGAATAAGCAGTCATGGAGATGCACGAAAATAGATGAAAATTCAGCATATAATGCATAACAACTTATTTGCTTGAAATAGTTAGTATTTTAAAGCACAGTGAGTGCATTTTAGAAAAATCTCAAATCCACATTATCTTGGTGAATGTTAAGATGCTAGCTACATATTATAGTTCTTTATAGTTTTCAAACTTCTTCAGTAGGGTATCATTATCATGATCATTAGTAATGGTAACAGGACTGATCTGAGCTGGAGTCCAATTTGGTCAATAACCATGCAAGTGATTAACAAAATCGGACCACCGCATAGCGGTAGTCCGATTTGTTTAATCACAAGTATGATTACAGACCGAGTTGGACGACACGAAGTTCTGTTACCAATTAATCGTAACTTTACCAAACTTTGTGATATATAAGGCTCTTTTTAAAATCAAAGGACTAGAAATTTTAATATCATTTTTGCTAGCAGTGAAAAAGAAAGCCATTTAAGCATGTGCGTGATGGTGCGTACTGTCCAATTACTTGGGCATGACGTGCATTGTCCTGTTAGACTGTCCTATTAAGGCTGAAATCAGGGCAGTCGATAACCAATCAAATTTGAGAATTTTGTTATAGTTATGATTTACATTATTATTGATTGTTCCTTTTAAATTTTCTTTATCCTTCTTATTATTTTAATCTTTCGTTTTTTCCTTCGGTTTTTTTTACAGTCATTGCCACTCATTGTGGAACAAACACTGAGGAATCTTCAAGGACTTCATTTAGATGATCAGAAAGGTGACTCATTTATTGGACAAAGTCCTGTAAAGTCAAATGTTGCTAAAGGTATAACTTTGTTGTCATTTATTTTTTTCAGTTGTACCGTAAAGCAGAATTTTTACCATTCAGGTTAAAAGCTATTTTACCCTAATGCTAACTTGTCCACATTTTATTAGTTCTCCATAAAGGGATATTCTGTGCCGAATGTAATCAACCTGTCGTTGGAATCCGATACAAATGCTGGTAAGAAATCAATGCATATTTGCTTATTAACCAAACTAGCCAAAGGTTAAAGAGTGCAGGCAACAATGACTAAAATGCCCTTGCTCCAATGCTGTGCTTTGCAGAAGTTTCTTGTGACTTATTAATATACTATTAGATGGTCATAAGATGCACTATGAGGTTACAAGTGATAAGAGGTCCAGGCATATAAGATTGCATTCTGTTCACTTTGTGGAAGTCCAGACAAAGCTGGCTACATACATGTATATGTGTTGTGGTTCAAATTTAATCCTTGGTTTGAATTTTTTTAAACCAGTTTAAATTTTTCAAACTGCTGAGAAATTTTTAAACACATAACTTGTTCTCATTTATTTATACCTCTCCTGGTAAATTACGGTGTAAAATACACTTGCGACATCAACTTGGTTTCACATGTTAGTAAGCATTTTAGCAATTACGGTTAGGCATTTATTTCAAATGGTTAGCTTTCATGTAAGTTGATGGCCACAACACCGTTTCAGTGATTTTTTTTACCTTTGCGTCCTGCATCCCTGACACATAAAAATTCCCAAAGACACAGAATAATTTGTGGTATGTGTCCCATAGGATGCAAAGATCAATTGATCAATCTGAAGATGTTTAAATTGTACAATATCCTGTTTTTGTGTGATTTGCTGTGGCTGTTCTTGTAGCTGTTGTTTAATGACACATATTTCTTGTAGTATTTGTTGTGCTTGACAATAGAAGGAGCATATTTTTATTTCAGTAAACTGTCATATGGAGTTTTGGAGATTAACTGTGTGGTTACATTGGGACTTATTGGAAATTTTATTGACTCGCTCTTCATAGAAAGTATGATTTATAAATGAAAGTACCATTAACTATTTTGTTTACAGCTTTTGCACAGACTATGATCTGTGTGAAGATTGTGAGGCAGTGGATGGAATTCATGATTCAAACCATTTCTTTGCAAAGCTCCACAATCATGTGCCTGGAATAGGGAGAAAAAATGGAGAGATGGTGCCAATATTGAAAAAGTCTGTGTATCGGACAGTCTTCAAGGAAGAATTAAAGAATGAATGGAAGCTAGAGAAAAGAAGGGATAAAGAGGAAAGAAGAGAAGGGAAAAGAAAAGACAAGGAGGAACGAAAAGTGGAGAAAAGGAAAGATAAGGAGGAAAGAAAGGAAGAGAAAAAGCGGGATAAGGATGAAAAGAAGGAACGGAAAAAAAAGGAGAAGTACTACAAGGCTATTAGACTTGAGGAGAAGAATAAAAGAGAAATAAAAAGGAAACTGAGAGAGATGTAAGTTCCTAGAAATTGTGGAATGCCTTTAATTTCCGAAAGTAATGACCCCTCGAAAGTAGCAAACCTCTCAAAGTAGCGATAAAGTGTCACAGGTGTTAGCAAATCCCAAAAGTAGCGATCCCCCTAAAAAGTAACGACCCTCCAATAGAAGAGACCTCAAAACTAATTTCCCCTTTTGCCAAAAATAACAGATTTGATAGATATCCTGAACAAATGCCATGCCAATCCAAGGTTTATTAATAGTGATTATTTGACATTCTTAGTCAGAACTCTTAAAGTACAGGATATACATGTACATTACCTTTTTTCAAAAAGTATTCCTTTCGGTGTTAGCGATTTTATTATTTGAAGTACCCATGTGGAGTATAGGTTTTAGCCATCCAAAAGTGAGGACCCCCAAAAAGTAGCAAGCCTCCGAAAGTATTGATAGCAAGAAGGGTGCTAAATCCGAAAGTACTGACCCTCATTACTTTCAGAACTTTACTGTAGTCCAGTTTTGAATTCATCACGATCACTGAATAGAAGCACTGAAGACTCATTTATGCAGGGTTAGCCTCAACCTAAAATTAAATATTCACAAATACCGGCAAATGTGAGTTAAAAGTAGTATAAACAGTTGTACACAGGTCTTCCTCTGACTGGAATTTGTGATGAAATATATATTCCCTAGGTTGAGGCTAACCCTGTATAAATGAGTCTTAAGTAGGTGTTTACATTAGTTTGAACATAAAGGGAACTCTTCCTTGTGAAAAGTTGTTAAAGATGTCAATACCAAACCAATTGTGGAATTTTAGGCATCCTGCTGTTGAACCATTAACCAGTATTTCCAGCAACAACAATTTGTCTTCCCCCTACTTATAGATGCCTCCCAATTTTTCTGCCTTATACCATGTACTTGATCTCTATTTACTTTAGATATCATACTTGGTTGGCAGAAATTCCCTAATCAGCGTACCAGGCATTTGATTGCAAGATGAATATTTATCCTTAAATTTGATTTTGTCTATTGTTGTCTTTAATAGTCGTCATGAAAGGGAGTCTGCTACTACCACAGAAAGGCTGCAAAACTGTCTGAATGCTGAGTTTATTGCAGATGCTAGTATTCCTGATGAAACAGTGTTAAAGGCAGGGCAGAAGGTTTGTCATAACAAAGGATCCACTTGTTTACTAGTATAGTGTGAATCAGTATAAATTGAAGAATGTAGTCCATCGCTAGAAAAAACCAGCCTTTACGTGCTAGGCACTTGTCTGTTCCATTGAAGTGAAGATAATGATTATAACAACAACAACTACCAAACACAGAGTTTTTCTGGCAAAGATTTAATTGACAAAAAAAAACAAACTACTTTTAACTTACAGTTATCCTAGTATTGCAGCTTGGTGGTAACACAGTACTGTTTGTCCTTTTGTTGAATAGGTGAAACTTGTACAATATCAATTTTGTTCATTATTAAGCTCCCGTGTTTTCTTCTGACAGTTATACTTTATTTGCGGATTGTTTTTTGAATGTGTTTTACAGTTCTTGAAGCGCTGGACTGTGAAAAATAAAGGACGCAGGTGGAGTGCAAAGACTGTGGTTAGTAAAAAAGTTACATTATTTGCAGTGTTGAGAAACAGCATTACCTTATGCACTGCAGAAAAGTTAATGTATGTAAAAATCTGAACATGTCAGGGTGCAAAGAAAATCATTTTTACAGCTTGACAAAAATTGGGGCAAGCTGAAGCTATCATTTACTAGCCCAGACGTCATTTCAACTAGCCCCAAAAGCTTTTTGATGAGCAAAGTTAATTTCACAGTTCTTCTGTTATTCGAATTCCTCAAAACACATCACTTGCCCGTCAGGCAAGTTAAAAACAGAATTCACTAGCCCAATAGCAAAGTCCACGAGCCATGGGCTATCAGACACCACTTTCACTTTGCACGCTGCATGTAAGCATGCAGATTTTGAGATATGCCATCCATCAGTTTTTTGAACTGTGTTGAGCACTGCATGACTTGTGTAGGTCCTCTCACCCCCTTACAGGAAAGGTCATGAATGAGATTTGTTGCTTAAATTTTGACATAATATTTGGTGCAGTGTAGCTGACAGAGATGGAGGGCTTGTTTATATGTTATGCTAGGAGCAAACAGATGCAACATTGTTTGCCAACAACTCCCAAATTGTTGTATGTTAAATGATTCATCTGTTTGCTCACCCTGAACTTGCATGTTGTTGAGTGTTGTTGGAAGTTGCTGCGCAAAGTTTGAAACCGGTCAAACTTAAGCTGTGTGCAAACGAACGCAAAATATCCCAACAATGTTGGTAGTTGTTGGTGAACAATGTTGCATCTTTTTGCACACAGTGCTTAAGTAGTATTTGGAAACTCAGACTGGCAGCCTATTAGACGTTTGGGGCTAAACAGAAGCAAGGGACACTGTTAAGTGATTAGGGAGCTTAAGCAGGGCCATTTTTGAATGACGCATGTCTACCATATTTGTATTGCCAAGTGTCTTCATTCTTATAGAGACGATTTTCCCAAAAATTTGTTCAAAATCACAGCTCAAGAGTGCAAAAAGTCCGCTTCTGGTTGACATGCGTCGTTCCAAAACATCGCTGCTTAAACTCCCTAATAACATAGATGTACAGTAGTATAGTTTTCAACCACAACAAGCATTTGTCTGTAAGTTAACACTGGCTAAGTGAGTGAATGACACCCTTTTCTTCAAAGAATAGTTATAGCCCAGTTCTGCAATATTACCTGTTGTCCTAACAGCTGGGCACATTCCTCATACATATCGTTTTGTTTTGTTCACTGAAGTTGCAATGTGTAGAGGGTAATATCACAGTAGCATCAGGAGACAACATGGTGGAGGTTCCTCCGCTGAAACCTGATGAGCAAGGTGAACTGGCTGTCCCATTTGTTGCACCTTCTGCCCCTGGGCGTTATGAAAGGTATGTCATTGTGGCACTTCAAGAATAAAAGCCCTTGCTAATAGGGGCATAATATTATTTATGAGGCCAGGGAATCTACAGGCTAAGGTTGTGCTGAGATAGGGGTGATTCTGTGGTAAAATAAAAGATAGTAATAGTAACATTTAATTGAAAAATGATAACAACAATATAATTTATTACCTTATAGATTGCAATAATATAGTATAGTTATTTTCCGTAGTGGTCCTCTAATGGCACAAGTCAGTTACAGTGTGCAAGGGTTGTGTTGCTTTCTAAATTAATGTGCAGAAGGATTTTGACGAAAAAGAGATTCGTAGTATTGTGCCCAATTGCTTATAGTCCTGAACCATCATGCAGAGACGTGTATCACATCAGTATTCTGGCTAACTGTAACTACACCTACCCTTCCCCTAAACCAACATTTTGTCCTTAGTGGAAAGCTGGTGTCAATATTGGGTCAGGGGAGGGGTAGGTTGGCCTTTTTCCAGAATCTTATACTTACTTGGCCAATCAATAACTTTTGATGTTGCTGTTAATATCCTCTTGCAGCAAGTGGCAGCTGTGCCATCAAAGGATTCCACATAAGATTCCATTTGGTCCACTCTTCTGGTGCCAGATTATTGTTGAAGGAGACAAAATGGAATGTGAGATCTCCCAGAAAGAGGAGGCAGCAGGTAGGTTCATTTGATTATTTGCCTACAGGTGTGTTGTAAAGATTATCCTCTCCATAGCCATGCATGTCTTAACTTCGCTGTGTTTTCTTTGGTTTATTTGTTTTAGTCATCTGCTCACCCCCAACAGCTTTTGTGCTGTAAATACTGAAAAGGATAAATGTAGGAATTATGTTTTTGTTATTCTCTCAAGAGCACAAAGATTGAATATTAATCCTGTGTAATGTGTTTCCTCTAAAGAACCAACACAAGTACCAAGCCATGACACCACCTCTCTGGTGAACAGTGCATTCATTGAAGGTGTGTCCCACCCTGTAAGAAAACTTGTGGAGCACATAGTACCCCAGGGTGGTCAGATTGAGGAGGCTGATGAAGCATCAGGATCTGATGCCTACCTGAGTTCTGAAGACACAGCAGAGTATAAGAAAGTGGCAACGCCATTAGAGTCAGTATTGGTTGCCACCCAGGCTGCTCAAGCTGCAGAATTGGAGTGGGATGCAGCAGGATGTACCCTTGACACAGATTCGTGTGACAAAGAACAGACTGAGGAGCTTGTGTTGTGCAATGCTGTTGAAGGTAACATACCCTGCGTTAGAGCCTTTAAGAAGGCTCACTTATGCAAAGCCAAAGTTTGGTTGATTGGAATTTTGGTGATGGAGAAGCCCTATTCAGGGTTGTAGCTAAAATGTCAAGTTGCCGGGTATCTGCAATTAGTAGGAAGGGATCTGTACAGCTAGGAAATTCTTTTGGTTCTTTTTGCCTTTTTGTTTTGCTCATACTCATAGTAGCCATGGCCAGCCCGCCCCTAGCTAGAATACTGCCCCCATGGCTGGCAAATCCCCACAACCCAGCCATGGGCCCCCATTCCAGGCACCCATCATACTGTTGAAACAGTGGAAGGAAGAAAAATAAGGGACGAGAGGGGGGAAGACGCTAAAGCAACCGCTTTACAGACCACTGCACAAACGCTCAATGAAGAACTCAAGATCCTAGCAGTGGACAAAGCTACCACATACCATGTGAGCCTGCACTTATGGGATTGACCGCTGTATGCCCGCTAAGCTTGTGGATCGCTTGACCGCTAAGCTCGTGGACCGCTTAACTGCTAAGCTCGTGAACCACTTGACTGCTAAGCTTGTGAAATGATTGACTGCTAAGCTCATGAACTACTTGACCGCTAAGCTCGTGGTGGTTAACTTAGTTAACTTAAATTACATTTACCAAAATTGTCTTGTCTTACAGATGCTGGAAGTGATGTGGAAAGCATCTTCAGTGATATATCAGATGACTTCATGGTGGTTCCCATCCCTCCCTGTTTCATTCCAGAGGCCCCCCTGACCGCAGACCCTGCCCACGTGACTGTTAGCATGACAGAATACAAGCAGATGTCAGAGAGTCATCAGGGACCTTTTTCATTGGACCTCAGTCCTCACGCTTCTCTTGAGGTAGAGCTCAAGAGTAGATCCGCCGATGCTTCCTATACTGACCAAATGAGTGTTACCAATGTTGCAACAATATTGGAGGGTGGTTCTACCCTTGTGGATTCAAGGGATGTTACCAGCAGTGAGACACCATTGGAGATGACATCAAGGAGAACTGTAGAAGGAGAACAGAATGTTTTTGATCTGGCTAGTGAGACCTTGCCTCTGCTTCCAGAGCCCCTCATCCCTGGACCAGGACTGCAGGCAGCTGGGTTAGTGGAAGAAGCGCCAACCCTCGTCACCTCCACTGAGTCCACATTACCAATTACCAATGAACCTCTCCCTGCACTCGAGCCAGCAGAGGACGACAACGATGTTGTTGGAGATGATGATGCCGATGACGCTGCACAGCCACAACCAGAACCAAGCTCACAACCCATCGCAACCCAGCCAATGACCGGGACAGATGAGCCGCCTCCAGTAGCACTGCAACCAGAGCCCTCATCATCTGTGAATGTAGCACCGACCACTGTACAAACAAGGGGAGTGGTGCAGCATATTCCCAACACCAACAGTGACTTCCCCACCGACGTTGTTAAAGATGTGTTGTCCACTGCTTTTGATGCAGTAGCCAGTGCAGGTCGAGCTATTGTGGACACTGTGGACAATCTTCTCACTGGCACTCCAAGGCCAGAACCTACAGCTACTTACAACCCTGAGCAGGGATGTGAGTTATCAGTTAATCAAGAGGAAGGGGACCACATAAGAGTATGTCAAATTACTTGTTGTGTACCATATATTTTTCAACTTAAAGTTACAACTGGAGCTTTCTGCAGAATGTGTATAATTGTCCCAAAAACTATCTTCTCTCTACTAAGAGTCTTAACTCTTTACGGACTCCTTCAAATTCAAATTATGTCCCTTCTAAGGATTCAGGGAAACCAGTACTTACCGCAAATCCTACTTCATACTTTACTAAAACTGGATACTCTGCTAAGCTAATTGATTGAGTATACGAGTGATTTATTAGCAACAATTTTGTATACTCGTGTATTGGTACATGTATATACTTCTCCCTCCCCCCTCCCTCCCCCTTTTGGGCCCACAAGGATATTGCTTGTTCCAAACTAACAGCGACTTTCTCTCCCCTCCACAGGACGCTCCTGAAGTGCACTCAGTATCCTGGCCTCCTGGTAGATCGCCTGGCACGTGTCAGGAATGCTTGGTGGAGATGGGATTCTGCGATCGCAAACTCAATGAACAACTTCTGAAGAAACACAACAACAATGTGGCCCTTGTTGTGAACGAGCTATTATCGTTCACTGATAATGACTGGTCCACGCGGAGACATTAATTAAATGTAAGGGATGTTAAGCGAAGGAGTTTTTGAATGACAAACGGCAACCGGAAGTGCAATGTCGGAAGTACCTCAAGTAAAGTGGCGGAAATACTGGAAGTAAAATGCCTTGATACTGCCACATTTGAATAGCTAATTGTCTCTTTTTCTTATAGAGACGATTCGCCTTAAAGCTTGTTCAAAATTACGGCCCAAGAGTGCAAAAGGTCCTCTTCCGTTGGTCGCTCAAAAACTTCGTTGGCTTAACTCCGTATTAATTAAATATGACGGAGCTCAAACAAAGCCGTTTTTGAACAACAGGTGGTTACAAGCGGAAATGAGGCTGTTTCCTTTAGAAAATGCCAAGATGCTACTGCGTTTGTATTGGAAAGTGTCCTTACTCTTAAAGACGATTTCCCTTAGATTCCGGGCAAAACCACTGCCCACTAAGTTATGCAAAACAACCCCTTCCAGTTGCCGTCCGTTGCTCAAAAACGCCTTTGCTTTTGAAATTAGTTTAGCTTGGTTTGGTTCAAATGGATGGTTTTTGTATCTATTTAATGGGATAATCTAATTAATTTTTGGTTAAAACTTTTGAAAACATTAAAAATTTAAAGACTTAACCTTTAGTGTTAGTTGTTCCTTTGGTTGTCAAGCGTGGCCAATGTTATTTTCCAAATTCAATTTGTGAGGTGATTTCAGTGTTATTCAAGACTATACTTCAGCGTTGAAAATGTTTCATGTCGTCTGTTGTTACAGATGGCAAGGATGGACAAGAATTGAAACTTAAAACTGTTGGGCCAACTTTTTTATATTTTAAGGCTATGCCTATAATAGCCTGTGTGCAGACGCTCCCCTCCCCTCAGAAAAAATCGGGAAGGGGAGCGTCTGTACACAGGCCATGCCTACAATAATCAGCTGAAGAATTATCTTGATTAGTGTTCCTTGAGGAAATTCGTTTGGTCTCTTCTTCATACCACTACAGGTGGAGCAATTTGTGTATAGGGTTAAGACACTAGGAAACGATTTCTGCACAGAATTGACCTAAATCAGCCTAATATCCTCGTGAAATAACCCCTTCAATGGAAACTTCAAAATAAAAAGTTGGTACAATAGAAAAGTAACAGGTAAGTGATTAGAAACTACAAATGGTGTAGGAGGTTAAAATAGATAACAAACGACAAACTGGAAAGAGAGTCAAACAGAACTCTAGGATATATCTGATTAGAAAGGTCAGATAATCGTCACAATACTGTTGTTGTATTCATTGCAGCAAGTTTACAAAATGTCCAGGGATTTTAAACCAGGAATTAAACTAACAAGAACAGCGGAGATTTCGCGACACTACTGGTTTCCTCGAGAATAACGTCTGGGGAACGAGCACAGAAAGCGCGCGGAAAGCACTCCATTCGACTTACGGTGTCCAAATTGTCGCTCTGTCATTGGTCAAGCTAGTTGTTTGGTTTGCGCGCGCCGTCGTCAACTGACGTTCCCGTTCTGTTGCTAAATCAGCCTGATAACATATTGATGACGTGTCGCTACCCAGATCTGAGTGGTGCTCCTGATTGGTCGTGCAGCGTGGGAAATTTTGTTGAACCAATCAAAAGGGATAACCCAGATCTAGGTAGCGGCACGTCATCAGTATGGAATTTCTGCACTTTTTTTCTCAGACATCATCTCGCGGGGAAAACCAGTGGTGGCGTCGCAAAATGTCGGCTGTTTTCGTAGGCCTTAGCATAACGCTTGGGTTTCTCCTTAAGTCGATGGGAAAGGTTTGGATAAAATTCGGGTGCCACGTAATGAATGCATTCATTAATGAAGTGTTTGTTTACACCAACTAAACTAGTAGACTAAGTTAAATTTGGAAACTGAGGCTGAGGCGTTGAAATCCGTAATATCGTCACATCTAGCTTTATCATTTGTTTCTGTCTTTGATATAAATTATAAGCTGTAGATACACGAGTGATTCTCTTATTAACGCTGGCTAGTGTTTCTCCTTTGTTTTTCTTTAGTAGGTAATTTTAGAGGAAAGCTATTACAGTAAATAGTCTATTCATAAAGAATCTTTATGCGGGAGTAATCAATGTAAATAAATGCTTCGAAATTTCAGACGATTGCTTTGTTTGTTCGTCGATATTTCTATAACACCATTAACCCGCAGGAAAGTGGAGTGTAAGTTTAGCGCACGAGTGAGGGATCCCTCACGTGCGCTTCGTGATTTCATGCGCTTGAGTGGACACTTCCCTTTGGAATCCCTCACTGTGTTCGCCTTCTTCCAAAGTCACCAAAAACAGGTTAAGATTGGGCGGAACTATCTTGGATATTTCTAGTCTGCGAGCAGGCTATGATTGATATGGCGAGCTTTGCGAGCCGCATAAGAACGCGCGAGCGGCGTCCCTTCCCCCTTTCGCGTGCTGCTCTCGCGTGACTCCTCGCAACTCCCTCTAGCCTGCGAGGAAGCCCTCCATTTGGGCGAGCATGAGACGCCTTCCCTCGTTTGCCACTCGAGCGTTGACTTTTCACGCTATTTTCTAAATAGAGAGCTTGCTGGCAGGCTAGGATTATTTTTGTAAGTGTTAAGCTTTCCTCGTGGGGGTGGAATTTGAAATGTTTGCTTTGCCTAGTTTTTCTTCAAAATATCCCCAAAACGACGTTTTCAAGATATTATAATTTTCAAAGAGATGAACCTCTATTAATTTTGGGTTAAAATGCTAAAAAAATAAAATAAAATTTTGTTTTTGTGGCCTTGAGCTATGTGAGATAATTTCCAAGAAGTTAAACTTTCCTTTTGGGTCAGAACTTGAAATTTCCTCTGTGTTTGTTCGTCGCAGAAATGGATGTTTGGAATCGTGATATAGGATACTCATAAATTTCGAAGATTTAGAATTTGGGTTGGGGCCAACCCACCATAATTGTGAACGTTCTCAAGACTCACAAAAGCACCTAGTGATTTTTTTCATCCGCTTAACATAATAAAATCGTGCATCACCTTATCCAATTTGGCAACCATGAAAAATTAAAATCGATATTTTAATATTATTTGGTCTAAAAAGGATTGTTCTTAGAACACCTTTTTTCAGTGCTTTTAAGCTAAAAAAGGTTAAAAGAAGGCCGAGAGACCCTACCCCGTTCGTTTTCTCGTTTGACTTGTTCAGCTTTTGGGCTGCTGCATCCCTGAAAGAAACACCAAAAAAAAAAACCTGGGGGAGAATTTTATTTTTGTTTGGGTGCGCCAATCGCCAAGTAAAAAAAAAACAGAGCCATAATGGGACCATGGCCCTTATTAAAAAAAACACCATAACAAAAAAAAAAATTCCCGCCAGTTTTCGTCGCATGCGTTGCGTTACGCTTCTCTGACCACGTGCCTGCCTTACTCGTTTCTGATTGGCCAAATGTTGAGACGCGATCAATCCGTACGTCAAACAACGAAGCGGGGCCATCTTTGTTAACGAGCGAGCTGACCGAGCTGGGCATTATCAGTAGGTAAGCTGAATTTCTCTTATTTACACTCTCAATATTAACGTCTTAGCTATCAAAACAATGTATGTACCATTTCTCTTTGTAATTCCCTTAAATTTAGACTTTTCCGTTTCAAGGAACAAGAGGCAGTTGGCGAAGTTGCGGTTCTCTTGCCTTATCTAGGCCTTTCAGCATTACCTGACCTTTCGAGAGTAAATAACTGTGAATTCTGCGTAGCACTTGACCTCTTCTGTAGTGCCTTGATAATGAAAGTCACTGTTTAGTTTTGCAAGTGATTGTAATCTGGAGTCCATTACCTGAATTAAAAGTTCCAAATCCTGAGTAAGCTGATTCTCCTGGGCCGCCTTCGTAACTCGACCATACATCACCCACAAATCACACAAAGTGCGTTGATATTCCTCTTGACGTCTTGCAAGAAGTTCTGCGTGCCCCCCATCGGTATTTTCTTTCACACAGCCTCCGCACTGCTGCAAAAGGGAGAGTAAACCTTCGAAAAATTCACTTGCATTTGGAATATAGAAACGATCAGAAGCCATCTTGAATTCCAACCTGTGTTCTCGTTTTCAGTCTCTCTCGGAAACAGAAATGATCAAAAACTGTCGTCTCTCTTCTTGATTTAAAAAACAAGCATCTCGATTTAGAAAACGTATGTCTTGATACATGACAGGAAACATGTGGGAATTGAAATTAAATTCTGCAATCTTGACACATTCAAAAAGCAAGTTGATGCGAATTGTATCGATCTTGATCGTGAATTTGTGGATTTGAATTGTAAAGTTGCATCTTTGATATTTTGTCACTTTTGGCGTAGCATATAACACCAAGAGCCATAATAGGACATGAATTACGATAGAAAGAATAAAGCAATTCTGTATCATGCAGACATTTCCAAACGATATTTTTTGGTTTGGCACTTAAATCGTGTTTTACTTTTTGCATGAATTAAAGTAAAGGTCAAGGAGTAGTGACGTCACTGGACGGCATTAATAGACAGTCAATTCAGATGTTACTGAGGGAGTTATAATGACTCGAAGTAATTAGATGAAATTCAGGCTAGTTGTACACAGGTCTTTTTCTGACTGGAATGTGTCAATATATTTACTTTAGGTTGAGGCTAACCCTGTATAAATGAGTATTCAGTGCTTCTTTTCAACAGTCACGGCAAATACAAAAATGGACTACAAATTTTTTACCTCAGGCTAGGCTAACCCCTTTCGACAAAATCTGATATGACGACCACGTCATTATTATTATTAGTATTATTATTATTATTATTATTATTATTAAATGAGTCATTGTCTCCAAAGGCTTCTTTTCTATTTAGAACATCCCTGAACATTTTTTCTGGTCTTGTTTACCCAAAAACAAAGAAACAAGAAAGTTCAGAGTTTTAACCAAAAGCATGGGTAACCCCTTTTTGGGAAAAAACAAACAAATGTGACGTCTATTAAAAATCAATACTTTCATTGTTTAAAAGGGCTTCTTTTTTATCTAGAACATCCTGAAATGTTGAAAGATCTTTTCACTGTATCAGTGTC